GGAACAAAGGGAAACAGGAGGCAGGGGGGGGGGACAAGAGAAAAGAGGCAGGAGGGAACAAGAGAAAAGAGGAAGGGGGAGGGACAAGAGAAAAGCAGAGGCAGGAGGATCAAGAGAAAACAGGTGGAGGAACAAGAGAAAACAGGAGGCAGGGGAGAAGAGAAAACATGGGGCAGGGAGAACAAAACATAAGGCAGGGCAGGGAGAACAAAACATAAGCAGGGCAGGGAGAACAAAACATAAGGCAGGGCAGGAACAAGAGTAAATAGGAGACAGGGGGAACAAGAGGAAACAGGAGGTGGGGAACAAAACGGGAGGCAGGAGAACAAGAGAAAGTAGGAGGCAGGGGAACAAGAGAAAGCGGGAGGCAGGGGAACAAGAGAAAGCGGGAGGCAGGGGAACAAGAGAAAGCGGGAGGCAGGGGAACAAGAGAAAGCGGAAGGCAGAACAAGAGAAAGCGGGAGGCAGGGGAACAAGAGAATGTGGGAGGCAGGGAAACAAGAGAAAGTGGGAGGCAGGGGAACAAGAGAAAGTGGGAGGCAAGGGAACAAGAGAAAGCAGGGGAACAAGAGAAAGTGGGAGGCAGGGGAACAAGAGAAAGCAGGGGAACAAGAGAAAGTGGGAGGCAGAGGGAACAAGAGAAAGCAAGAGACAGGGTCACAAGAAAAAGCAGGAGGCAAGAGATACCAAAGAAAGCACCAAGGAGCCTCTCCGCCCCCACCACCAAGTAAAAATGGAAAGAGAATTTTAATAACTATTGTTTTTTTGCTAAATATCTTACAATTAAAACTTACAAATCTGACTCAAGTACTTTGATTATACTCTGCCAAATCTCAGCAGATAAACTAAACATTTTATTACATACTTAAGTTACCTTTACCTTAAAAGTATACAGTAATGAACTAGTTTTATGAGAAAATGCTCAAAGTATATTTTCAAAATACTGTAATACATCTGCTAAATTTAGTTTGCCTGTGAATTTACCAGTCCGATAAGGGGGGGGGGGGAGCCCATTCTGGTCAAGACAAAAAAAAGTAATTTTTAATATGTTCTCTGTGTGTTGCTGTTGGTTGGTTTTGTGTGTGTGTGTGTGTGTGTGTGTGTGTGTGTGTGTGTGTTGTGTGTGTGTGTGTGTGTGTGTGTGTGTGTGTGCGCGCGCGCGCGCGCGCGCGTGCGTTGCGTTTTGCCGTTCTCTCCCTGTGTTGCTGTTCTCTCTCGGTTGATGTTGTGTGTGCATTGCCGTTCTCTCTGTGTTGCTGTTCTCTGTGTTAATCAAGCGTGCCCAGTGCCATAACCAGACCATAACACTACACGTACTACCATCTGAGATGTCAGAGGATTGAGCCTCCTGTGTTAAACATACACTTACCAAGTGTCTCTTGATAAAAGTGTTTATGCACATGCAACATCCACACTGTATGGTAGTACCTCCACATTCATGAGAGGGAACTCATGAGAAACTCATGGATGGTGAATATGCATTTTTTTTTTTTAACACACTGGCCGATTCCCACCAAGGTAGGGTGGCCCGAAAAAGAAAAACTTTCACCATCATTCACTCCTTCACTGTCTTGCCAGAAGGGTGCTTTACACTACAGTTTTTAAACTGCAACATTAACACCCCTCCTTCAGAGTGCAGGCACTGTACTTCCCATCTCCAGGACTCAAGTCCGACCTGCCGGTTTCCCTGAATCCCTTCATAAATGTTACTTTGCTCACACTCCAACAGCATGTCAAGTATTAAAAACCATTTGTCTCCATTCACTATCAAACACGCTCACACATGCCCGCTGGAAGTCCAAGCCCCTCGCACACAAAATCTCCTTTACCCCCTCCCTCCAACCTTTCCTAGGCCGACCCCTACCCCGCCTTCCTTCCACTACAGACTGATACACTCTTGAAGTCATTCTGTTTCGCTCCATTCTCTCTACATGTCCGAACCACCTCAACAACCCTTCCTCAGCCCTATGGACAACTGTTTTGGCAATCTTGCACCTCCTCCTAACTTCCAAACTATGAATTCTCTGCATTATATTCACAACACACATTGTCCTCAGACATGAGTTCTCCACTGGCTCCAGCCTTCTCCTCACTGCAACATTCATCACCCATGCTTCACACCCATATAAGAGCGTTGGTAAACTATACTCTCATACATTCCTCTCTTTGCCCCCAAGGACAAAGTTCTTTGTCTCCACAGACTCCTAAGTGCACCGCTCGCCTTTTTCCCCTCATCAATTCTGATTCACCTCATCTTTCATAGACCCATCCGCTGACACGTCCACTCCCAAATATCTGAATACATTCACCTCCTCCATACTCTCTCTCTCTCCAGTCTGATATCCAATCTTTCATCACCTAATCTTTTTGTTATCCTCATAACCTTACTCTTTCCTGTATTCACTTTTAATTTTCTTCTTTTACATACAAGGAAGTTATATTTCAACTAGAAAAGGGGAGAGCATGTTTCTGACTATCTCCATGCCATAGTTCTTGATGAGTAACAATACTGTATACAAGTCACTGTTCCAGAAGCCAAGCTTAATGATACAAGACTTGAAGGAAACCGGCTAATAATGGCAATATTAGATGATGGTAATCTAAATTTTAAATACAGTGTAATGGGAAATAAGACATACAAATACTGTGCTGTTTTCTAGGTACACTGTACTTCAGTGTATCACAGTAGCCTTAAAACATGTCTTATATAATGTACAGTATAGTATCACATTTTACATTATACAAATAATATTCCTATATAGGTAAGAGTATGCCAAAGTATTGAAGGTACCGGCTAATTTTAATATCATTATGAGCCTACACTGAGTATCTGCATCAGTGAACATTTTGGTATTGTCCCATTCCTAGGAGAAAGAAAATTAAGTTTACTTAGAATGTAAATTGTTGTTCTTTTAAATCTCATGCCACATTATTTTGATTACACCCCTAGGGCAATGTGGCATTTCTAAAAATGTAAATTATTTTTCTTTTAAATTTCATGCCAAACTATTTTGATAACACCCCTAAGTCAATGTGGCATTCACATTTCATTATGAAAAAGAGGATACTTTATGGATCCCCATGGCTCAACAGTCAGATAGTCTGATAATTTTGTGCCACTTTTAGTACCATACATAGGTAGGCGAGGGGCTATGACAGCACAGAACCGTGAATCCAGCAGCCACTCTCTGATGCCACCACAATACTGTAAGCAAGTTGTAGATCTTTGAGCTCATTTCCAAATAACAGTATAATACAGTATTCAAATCACAGTTCTAGTGGCAAGATTGTGTAACGAGCAGCAAAACATAAAACAGCTCACAGACTTGGCTAACTCGCTCACATGGAACAAGCAGATACAAATAAGAGTTCAGCATAACTTGTTTTGCAATTTAAAAAAAGTAATACATTTTACGATTTTAAACACGACAGTACATGTAATACTGTAGTGTGGAACTGCACACACAGTTTGACAACAATGTGTATACTTCTGTTTTATGTTTGCAGACCTTGTATGGTACATTTAAAAGGTTTATTTATCCATCTGGGGGATTTCCAAGTATATTTCAGAATTCTTTTCATCTTACTTTTTATGAGAGCTTCATAAAAATTCAGCCATTTAATTCTTATCCTCAGGTCCTTCCCCCCAAACAGAAGTAATCAGTATATTAATGGAGCTTCTGTCATTTTCTAATGCTCACTAACAGTTTTATCACACTGTAACAGTGAATGTAAGCCCTTTATCTGGCTACTATTTACTAGAATAGCCTAAATTCTGAAAGATTATATATATTTACTAATGAATAGCTTCCTACCTTTCAAATCTTTATTTTCATGTTGTACAAAATTCGTCTTTTAATGTAAAATTATTAGGTTCTTAATTTAACTAAGCTCAATTTCACTTTAAGAGGCATGATGTCCTCTACTACCTGCACAATATTCCACCACATTTTTTGGATGACCTCACAACAATACTGATTATGCAACCTAAGATTTGATTAAGGTAAAGGTAACTTTGGTAAAAAAAAAAAACTACAATTGAATACAACTGCAACTGCTGTAAGATTATATTAAGAACAATACCCTTTGGTGTGGGATCATGGCCTTTTCCAGTATGATAAACTATAGGAGCTGTAACGTGTTCGCTGTCATTCAAGATCAGTTGTAACACACTTCAAAACACCTGTTTGTTAGGCTTTTAATCTCTCTTATTTCATTAGGTTATAAATCAATTTAGTGCAATACCACAAAAACCTAAAAGTTTTTATTTTCTATAAAACGATTTTAAACAAAGTAATTCATTAACCACTGACAGACATTTCAATATTACATTGAAAAAATCTTTTATAAAATTACAGTAAAAAAATGAGGTTACATTTGTGCCATAAAAATGTACAGTTAACTAAAATGTCACAAGTACATTTGTGTGATTTTTAATTAAGTTTACTATACAGTCCAAATAGAAAGCATTGTAAAAAGAATCAGGTGCTTTTTAAGTGACCAAACATTGATACTGCTTTGTATAGATCAATGTGAAAAATTAATGAATACAACACTGATACTGACTGATACAGTTGACAAAAAAAAAAAAGAATTAAAGTCTTCAAACAGATCACTAATCATTTACCGCAAGGTTCTTTGTCAACATTTTAAAGCATGACAATTAACAACCTTATTTTTATTTTCCTTAACAAATATGTAGAGAGTCGGCACAAAAAAAAAAGCGGATTATGTTAGATGTCATAATTTTTATGAAAATTTTAAAACGACAATGAAGAAAAAGGATTTCTGTGAAACATTTCTTCAACATTACAAGTCCATTGTGCCTATGGCACAGCAGAAAAACATGGTGGCATTCACTTTCAGTACTAATTTAAGTAATGTGAGGCACATTAATTACTGATTGAAATACATGTGAACTGTCTGACAATGAAAGCTCCAAGGATAGACTGGCAACATGACCCCACCCCAAAAGGGGTAAAAATGACCATAACACTCACCGCTTGTTGAGCTGCTGGATCATCACCACCAAAGAGATTGTGGGGGAAACCAGCTTCCCCCTCTTCTCCCCAGCTTAACACTGGAGGAGCCTGTAAATCACAAACACAACTGTCATAATATCTGTTTATAAAATAGCAACTGGCACAATCAACTAGACCCTAGACCTGACTACAATCACTAAGAAGTTTAACCCCTTTCACTGACATAACCCCCTCTCACACCCTACCTGGAGGGTATTTCGGGGATCAACGCCCCTGCGGCCCAGTCCACAACCAGGCCTCCCGGTGGATCAGGGCCTGATCAACCAGGTTGTTACTGCTGGCCACACGTAGTCCAATGTATGAACCACAGCCTAGCTGATCCAGCACCAACTAAGTACAGCCTCTCCTCACTTAGCGACGTACTTGTTTACCAACAACTCGGACTTATGACAGACTCTCTGACCAGTATGCATGCCTAAATAACGTATACATATTAGAGCTAATTTCCTCTATTCTGTTTATTACAATATACAGTACACTACTGTATAAACATTTAAACATAATACTAACAATGTTATATATGGTGCATAGGTGACATTAAAACTATCGAAGTTGGCCAACACAAACCCAATACCATTACGTATAACATGCTCCTTGCTTATTGACAAATTCATTTACCGACGTGGTCTTAGGAACGGAACTCCGTCGTTAAGTGAGGAGAGGCTGTATCTGTCCAGCTCCCTCTTGAAGGCAGCCAGGGGCCTATTGGTAACTCCCTTTATGCATGGTCAGAGGCTGTTGAATAGTCTTGGACCCCAGATACTTATGGTGTTTTCTTTTAGTGTATCAATGGTGCCCCTATTTTTCATTGGGGCACCATTGCACTGCCTGCCCAGTCTTTTACTTTTGTAGGGAGTGATGTCTGTGTGCAGATTCAGTACCATTCCTTCTTGGATTTTCCAAGTGTAGATTATGATATACAGTGGAAGCTCGAGTTTCGAACTTAATCCGTTCCAGAGTTAGTTCTAAAGTTGAAACGTTTGAAACCTGAAGCAATATTTCCCTAAGAAATAATGTAAATACAATTAATCCGTTCAAGAAACCCAAAAATATTCACACAAAAAAAATACATTTTATAGAGATTAATTATAGTTTTACATACATACAACATACATAGTACAATTGGTAATAGATAAATAAACATATAAAATAACATTTTTACTTACCCCTTATTGAAGATTGGTGATGGCATCTGGAAGACAGTGAGGACGAGTGAGGGAGCACTTATTGTTTGGAAGGGGAATCCCATTCTATAAAGACTTTAGGTAACAAGTCTTTATCTGGGACATGGTTCTGTCACTGAACTTGTTGCAGAGATGATTTATTTCAGCTTGCTCAGGGTGATATTTTTCAGCAAATGCCTGCACTCTATTCCACACTGCACAAATCTCCTTTATCTCTGAAGAAGGCACCATCCACCAACATCACAACCACCATTCACCAATACCATCCACCACCAATACCATCCACCACCAATACCATCCACCACCAATATCATCCATCACCACCACCATGGTAGCTTATTTTACAGTCGCACTTAATAAACAACCACCAAATGCAATGAATTAATTGTGAAATGTTTAAATGAGCAAGCAGCTTAGTGTTCACTCAAGCATAAACAAAACCAGACTGGCTCACAACACCTGCGCAGGGGACGTGGGCAGGTGGACAGGTCTGGCATGCGGTTTGAAACACGGGGCAAGTTTCATACTTGGGATAAAATTGGTTAGAAAAAATGAGATCGAAACTCGAAGCGTTCGAAACTTGGGGTTCCACTGTATCCGTCGCCTATACTCCAGTGAGTACAAGTCAAGTGCTTCGAAGAGTTCCCAGTAGTTGAAGTGTTTGATAGCAATTAAAAAAAAATAACTTCAGAAATGGTAGAGAAAAATGCCTGAAGGTAATGATGCCAAATATGTAAAATTTGATCAAAAACTTACTGAATTATGCAGGCACAAAGCTGTAAGTCTGAGTGCAAATTATGCATCAGCAATTTTGCCAATACTAGTATCTGTCCATAAATTATGGTTATCAGAATTTTGAAGGTATATAAAATAACTCTGTTTAACTATTATCTAGTGTCCATCTTTGAGATAACACTATATAAGCAGAATTTAATTACAGTGGACCCCCGGTATTCGATGGCATCGGTATTTAATAAATCCGGTATTCGATGCATTATATCGCAAAAAAATTTCCTCTGTATTCGATTGAAAACCCGGTATTAGATACGATTCGTATGAGACCTGTCCACGTGTGGCCTGAACTGCTCCGTGTGTGCCAGTGTTTACAAGCCAGCCAGTGTGCGCGCATCTAAGGATACATTCGGTACACTCCATATATTATCCATATTATCACTGTGTTTGGTGCTTGTTTCTGCAAAATAAGTCACCATGGGCCCCAAGAAAGCTTCTAGTGCCAACCCTTCGAGAAAAAAGTCGCTAATGACTTATGAAATGAAGAGATAATTGCAAAGTACGAAAGTGGAGTGCCTGTGTCGGAGCTGGTTAAGTTGTATAATAAACCCCAATCAACCATCTCTACTATAGTGACCAGGAAAACGGCAATCGAGGAAGCTGTTCTTGCAAAAGGTGCAACTGTGATTACGAAACAGCGACCGCAAGTGTTAGAAAATGTTGAGAGATTGTTATTGGTGTGGATAAATGAAAAACAGATAGCAGGAGATAGCATCTCTCAAGCGATCATTTGTGAAAAGGGTAGGCAGTTGCATGACGATTTGGTAAAGAAATTGCCTGCAACTAGTGGTGATGTGAGTGAATTTAAGGCCAGTAAAGGTTGGTTAGAAATATTTAAGAATCGTAGTGGCATACAGTGTGATTAGGCATGGTGAGGCTGCCAGTTATGTTGTGCGACAGAAGTCCAGTGACTCTCAAGCTGGTCCTAGTGGCATTAAAAGAAGAAGGGAAGTAACCCCAGAAAAGGACTTGCTACCTCAAGTCCTAATGGAAGGGGATTCCCCTTCTAAACACTAACACCTCTCCCCTCCTCCCATCCCATCAATCATCACCAGATCTTCATTAAAGGTAAGTGTCAATTATTCTATTGTTATTGTAATTATTCTTTTGCATTAAACTTAATATTTCATGTAGTAAATTTTTTTTTTTCATACTTTTGGGTGTCTTGCACGGATTAATTTGATTTCCATTATTTCTTATGAGGAAAATTGATTCGGTTCTCGATATTATCGGTATTCGATGAGCTCTCAGGAACGGATTAATATCGAATACCGGGGGTCCACTGTACTTTTATTGTGAACTTTCTCCCTTACTGTCTGGTCTGTGAAGATCAGTTATTTACATTGGTATTTTTTATACAATTCATTCTGTGCAGTGTAATTTGCAGATAAATTTAATGTTGAATTGTACTGCCTTGGTTATGGTGGTTCACATCAGTAGTTTCAATAATGATGTGGTCCTTGTACAAAATGCACATTTTCATTACAGATCATTAGTGTTGCTTACATACTAAGACTGCCCAGGGACTTTGAGTAGCCACATACTGAATGTTGCATGAAATTTGTTAGTCACTGATCATCTCCACTTCTAAAATACTAAGTATTGCCTTCTAATTTTTGGTAAAATGTTGGAGAAATCCAGAAAATGAGAATGTTATTTTGTTTTGTTAGTCATTGTTGCACTTAAGGCAAATAAAAAGATCAAAGTATGAATACCAAATTAGGAAAAATTTTTTTCCCTTGGGGAGCAAGGACATCCTTTTACTATTAATAAAAAAAAATATGTTCAAAAAGTAAAATTACAGTGGACCCTCAAATTTCATAATTAATCCATTCCAGAGTGTGTGACGAAAGTTGAAATTTACGAATGGCAAAACCATTTTCCCCATAATAAATAATGTAAATCCAATTAATTCATTCCAGACACACGAAAGTATTAACAAAAAAAAATTTTTTTTACATTAAATAGATTTACATACAAAAAACAATGAGACATCAAGTATAAAACAAAAATAACATCACACTTACCTTTATTGAAGACTCTTGGTGTATGGAAGAGAGGAGGAGGGGAGAGGATGGAGAAGTTACACTATTGTTTGGAAGGGGAATCCCCTTCCATGAAGACTTTAGGTACAAGTCCTTATCTGGGGTTACTTCCCTTTTGTTTATTAATGCCACTAGGACCAGCTTGAGAGTCACTGGACCCCTGTCACTCAAAAAATTGTTCCAGATAGCTATTTCTGGAGTTTCTCTAAAATTTGCTTCAAATGGGACAAGACATTGTCATTGTACATGTTGCCAACACGGCTTGCAACAGCTTTGTCAGGGTGATGCTCCTCCATAAACATCTGCACCTCACTCAACTTTGCAGAAATGTCCTTAATCCTTTGAGGGTTTCGGCCGTACTAGTACGGCTTACGACCCAGGGTTTTTGACGTACTAGTACGCCTAAATTCTAGCGCCCTCAAATCTAGTGGGAGAAAGCTGGTAGGCATACATATGAAAGAATGGGTCTATGTGGTCAGTGTGCACAGTATAAAAAAAATCCTTCAGCACACAGTGCATATGAGAAAAAAAAAACTGACCGTGTTTTTGGAATAAAACAGCGACTTTGCACTGTATTTTCATATGGTATTTATTGTTGTATTCTACTTTTCTTGGTCTCATTTTATAGAATGGAAGACATATTACAGAAATTGAGATGATTTTGACTGGTTTTCCAGTTAAAAGTGCCTTGAAAACGAGCACAAAGAGCACAAAGTAGCAGAAATGTTCAATTTTTACCAAAGTTCAAAAGTAAACAAATCATGCCAAGTGTCCAATACACGTCAACTGGAGAGTCTAATATTCTTTCACAAGTGCGCTGATATTATTTATACCATTTCTACAATAACGCAGTAGTCTGCATAACAGTAAATCATCTATTTTTTGTAAGAATAAAAATTGAAAGTGGAAAGCCAAAGAAATATAAGAGGGGCCTGGGGATGTGACTAATGAACAGAGGAAATGTCATTTGAGTGCCAGGAATGTCTTTCTTGTTTATTCTGGACCCTATTTGGAAATTGGCATCTTT